GCTGGGGAAAAAATGAATACCTAACCATGTTGGTTAGAATGATTCTATATATTTTCATATATGTGGAATGTTGACTGACTCAAAAATTGAACTCAAGAAAGAACTCATGACCTCGGAAGATGAGAATCTCTCAATATAAATGTTTATTTAGGAAGGCGATCAATATTCACTCGTAGAGGCATTACAGTATATGCAAAAGGATCTGGAATATCCACTCAACTTATTAAAATTCATGGGAGTTTAAAAAGATCGCCCAGACTAAGAGGGGCGTAAACAGAAAAATCTATTTCACAGAAATAAGAAGCTTATTTTAAATTCACCTTGGAAATTGTTTTCTTCTACAAAAGTCCTCAGATGTTTGCTCTGTTTATATCAATGGTCATTTTAGAAAGGTTTTCAAGCAAGTTACTCTGCTGTGTTTTATTTCTCATAAGTTATCAATTACATTCTTTTGAGTAGACCTGACTGGCACTTTCTGGAAATAATTGCTCCACCATGCATGTGCATGCAAAAACAGGTGAGGGAAATACTCATCTACTGGTGAAAGATAGATGAGCAAGTCACAGGGATGGTGATCGTCCTCAGTTTCACATGCAAGAAAAATCTCTATATGTTTTGAAGAATGTAAGTGTACCACTGAACTGTGAAACGATTATATCATATTTTACATTTATAACTGGAACAGATTTTTAAGTGAATTGGAAAATTACTGCAACAGCTCCATAAATGGCTGGAAAGACAGGACAGACTAATCCATTCATTTTAAACAATATCCGCTTACACGGCTCATTGGACACACGACCATCATTATGGTAACAAATAATCTGTTACAAGCTCTGCAGTGGCATTTGGCCCAGAGCTGGTCTACCAGCCTGGCTGCAAAGGCACAGTCTGGGTTGAACTCTCTACCAGTAGCCACACCGATCCTTGATGGGGAAATGTACCGTAGACTGTCACAAGCCACCTGTGACTTTAAGTCATGTGTCTTTCGTGTATTGTCAGCTATTTTATTTTTGGAAATGAAAGCATTTCTTTATGAAGACTCTCACAAGTATGACTCATCTGCACAGTCCTGTTCTGATAATGAAAACAGGGCTATGGTTATCAGAGTTGGTATTAAGTGTTCACTGAAGGATCTCCATACGCTAAAGACTTTACATCATGACTCTGAGTCAACAGAGCTGGGCTCATCAGGAAGGGATTGGAGGCAGTTAAGCAATAATTACAATAGACTTTTGCATGGTAAAGAAATACCTGACCGGTTTTGGAGAACATTTCTAAGACTGGCCATTGAAAATGTGCACTGTCTAAGTCTTAATTGCTTGCAACATTTCTTACTGACACATTCTCACTTGATCTCCCAAGTGGGCATTATTCCCCATACTTAGACTAGAACTTTGAGGCAGAGGCAAAGTGACAGCTCCCGATTTATAAGACAGATAAATGACCCAGATTCATAAGTTTAATTTAGAGAGATATTTACTCATTCTTATTATGCAAATATTGGTTGAAGGATATTTGGTTAAAAAGAAAGCAGAGGGCCCTTCCTGGTGGCGCAGCAGGTTAAAGCACTGCACTAAGAAGCTTAAGCCAATTCCGCATGAGTTCGATTCCCGCCTGCCCCGGAGGAAATCCACATGGTGTGGCAGACCTCTCCTGACCCGCCCACTGCTCCCCTCCGCAGTGTACTTTGTCAATCTGCCTGTTCTGCTCCCCACTCTGTTCCTGGTGAATCCTCTCAACCTCCGCATCTCTTGCCTGTACCCCAGTTCTGTATGAATAAATAAATAAATCTTAAAAAAAAAAGAAAGAAAGCAGAAACCAAATGTCTCAATTATTGACTATTCAGAAAAATCAAGGAATAAAATGAATTAATATGTTGTTATATTTGCTTTCCAGGGATTTTAGCTTCTTCAAATTTGTTAAAAACTACAAAGTTATGTGTGCCTCTGTGTGTGTGTGTGTGTGTGTGTGTGTGTATTCCACATATATAATATGTGGGGAAAGCAAATAAGCACCAGATAAATATAAGTTTTTAACAGATGTAGAAAATTCAAATTTAATTGTTTAGAAAATAGGAACTTAAATATCGATGTATTCTTACAATTAAAACTGTGCAATTTAAATCTAATAAATCATTATAATGATCCATCTAGTACAATCAATGATCATGACTAATGCCAGGCTGATACCTGCCTAGTATTAGCAAGAGAGATCAACATTGTTTTTTTTTTTAACAAAAATTTAGAATATGTAAGCATTTTCTTATAATTTAATAAAAAAATCAAACAAAAAATGTTCAGATTGCATGTGAATTTGTAATAAGTTACCTCTAGCAAAACAATAGAGCACATAACATAGGCATTTACTATTAATACCACAAGTTTCTGTTAGGTTACAAATACCTGCACTCAAAAACCAATGATTGAATTTCCCCAATAAAGCTAGTAGCCCCTTAGCAAAACTGTCTGCATTTCAATGTCACATTTAATGGACTTTTGATAAGAACTGCTTACATCCAATACTTCCTTTATCTCTGTAACTCTAGACTTAGATAACCAGAGAATACCCCCACTTAATATGCCCATTAGAATTGGGGATATGCAAACACAATGACTTTTGGGGAGTAATTTTTCTAAACTGCACATATTTTTTTCTTTGACACTAGACAGGAAATTCTAAATAGAAGGAAATGATAATTCAGATAAAGTAGAAAGGATTCTATTGTGCTTAGTATTATCAAAGAGGAATGAGAAGCTTGCATAGTTAAGCACATTTAACTACTCACATCTGAGTTTCAAATATTCTGATAAGCCATTTTTCAGGAATCTTTTCAAAGCATTCTCAATCCAGACTGTGACTTTCACATCTTTAAAATCTCACGAAACTGTCATAATGTCTCATTATGACTTACTCTGAACTTATTTTGACCTCCTATCCAATGGTCATAAAATAACTCAACATCTTCATACAGGCATTTAATAAGGACATTATAATAAAATTAGCCGTAGAATTCCTTTCCCTTTTCGAAAGAATAGTCATTGACACGTGTTATGGACAATATTCAAGTACTTAAATTTACACAAGTTTACATTTTTTTCTCAAAGAATCAATACTTTTAGGGGTGGGTAGGAAAGGTAACCCCCAAACTAACTACATTGACTTTAAAATTATTTGACCTACTTAAAATTTTGCATTATCTACATTAGAAATCTCTTTTGTTTAAGTGCAATATATGTAAAGTCGATTAAGAGGAAATCTAGTCTATAGTTAAAATTATGGATAAATGTAAATTCAAAATGAATCTTTGTTACTATTTATAAATGTCAATTTTTAATAACTTAATGAATATTAAGATATATGCTCTAAGGTACTCCAGAATTTTTAGAGAACAGTGAATTTCCTCTCCTTTAGATTATATCCAAGTATTAGACTATTTTCCATGTTTGCAAAGATTAAAACCTTTCTGTGATAGGCTATTAAAATAGAATTATATTTCAGGCTCATTGACACAAATATAATTGACAATATTTAATTTGTGTATCAAACTAGTTTTGATTTTTTAGAACTTAATAATTACCTCACTATAATGTTCTATAGCTACTCATCATATATTTCTTTTTAATGAGAAACATATGATTTAAAAGAAACTAAATGAAAACCATAAAGGCAGAATAGAACAGAAGAGCATTCTTTATCACCATCAGAAAAAAATTAAAAAAGTAGCCATCTACATAAAAATAGCTGACCTCACGATTTATGATGCTCATGGCAAGGTCTTGCGTCCCAGGGTCAACAGTTGGTGCTCTATGTAAATCATGTCTATGACTCCCTGAAAAATTATACTCTCTTTAGCCCTCCGAACTTGTGTCTCCATATTAAGTCAGAACGGAACTATTGCTAACTGCTATGTGTGTAATAAATAAATTATCAGTATTTTAATAGTCATTTTTATTACTACCTTAGTGCATTCAGATTAGGAAAGGACTTGCCATTCTCTCAATTACGAGATGAAAATTTTATAAAAACAGAAAAATGAAATATAGTTTGCAGTCTGATTTTCAGCCTTCAATTAATTTTATCATCATAATAATCTGATTTTAAATTAGAATCCAACAGAGGATTAGAACGTATTGAGTTTGTGATCTGAGCCATCATTGTTGGTTCATCTGTTGTTTAGTCTTGGTTGATCTCTGTTAAGCTTGTGGGAATATCCTTTCTAATTTTTGTACTATCATATCTTTTCACGATGACCCTCTTCTGTCCCCATCTTAATAGAGATTGAAGCCCTATCCAGAATACATTTCTCAAAGATTACATTAATTAACAGAATGAAGTGTGTGTGTGGGGGTAGATCATCCAGATGAAAATATCTGGATTTGGGTACCAGATACCCATATGTTTTAAAGATTTCTGGTTTATCCCATCATATATCTAGGGTTGAAAACCATTTTTCTATAAATTACCTAGAGACTTGGAATTATCTTAATTGTGGATGAAGACTTTCCATAGAGTCTTTCTTAATACCTGCTTCCTATAATTTACACATACAGAAATGCTCTTGCCACTCATGAACTGATAGAAGCAAAATGTAAAAACAATTTTGACAGACAATTTTTTTTTTATTATTAGACTATCACAACTTAGTTTCATATCAAGTACTATCATTAAACACTAATATGGAAATGACCCCCTTTCCAAACTAAGAATCCAAACTCTGGCAACTCACAAAAAAATTACTCGAGAAGTTTGAAAATATAAATTCTTCAAGAGTAAACCCTAATCAGATTGAAAATCTCCAACACTCAGTTTCATAAGTATAAAGAGCCTAGTAACTCCCTCTCCAGTGCGGATGCATGCACACAGCTGTTGATAGTCTCTAATAGACATTGAGATAGGCAGTAACCACAGACTGAGATCCAGTCATATTTTCAAATGTGAGTCCTCTGCCATTTTCAGATACCGGCAACTCTGTGTCTGCCTTTCCAACAGTTACTTACCCAGATGTTCCCATCTTGATGATAGGGTTTCCAGTTCCTCCCAGTGTCGCTGTAGAGCATGCGGTATTGGGTCACCCAATCTGAGCTACTGTATCTTCCTTGGGTAGCGATGGCACTGATCTGCTTCCGATTGCCAAAGTCAACCTGAAGCCATTGATAATGGTCACTGTCTGATGGAGACCATCCCCCAGCACCTGAAGAAGGTAGAAGCAAAAGGGGGCATGGATAGTTAAAGTTGAACTTCACAATTGACAGTGGATTATCCTACATATTTTAATTGGTCTCGACACTGTTATATTTCAAAAATATATTATGAAGTGTCCTTTACAGATGCCATCGGGACTTCAACTAATATTCTTCCAGCTGGGTAACACTGCTACTCTGACCTTTTTATGGTGTAATTATGTGCTCATTTTCTCCTGAGCAAATGTCTTCATAATTCCTCAATTAGATCTTATTAGTACATGTCAAAGTCTAATTGGCTGAGGGTTGATCAATTTACCATGAATTCTTCAACTGAAAATCACTAGGAAAAGATATGCAATAATCTATTGATTCCTTATGTGAGGTTTTATCTTTTAGTACATTATAAATGAAGCAAAAAGCTAATTATACACAATTCTAAAATGCATTTTGTTTTAAAAGGTTCAGAGTTCAAAGAATACAAGTTGACCTGAAGTTGAGATCTAATTTTACAGTAGCCTTTGTAAGAAGATGACACACACACACACATATACCAACATGTAAGAAGACAATCAAAGATTCTTGATAATCAATTTTCTTGGAAAACCATTTGTGTTACTAAATGAAGTGAAAATCTTTTCACAAAATACAATACAAATGAAAGACAAATAGTAAAAATACAAACACATTTGTTAGAAAAATAGCACTAATATTGAACAGACTCTTAATTTATAATATTATGTAAAGTTTGGTGTACATAAACACATCACGGAAAATCTGACATGCTTAGTGCAAAGAGGCAAAATAATTTTTGAGTGAGTTAAGTTACTAATGATAGGAAAATACTTAGTAAATTATCCAATATATAGCATAGCAAAATGCATACATCACTTTGCAAATAAGGAATTTAAAGGCTAACAATAAAACAGTTATTTCTATGAGGACTATAAAGCATCATAGATACATACTTTATTTAATTATATTTATACATTTTTCTTGCTTATAGCTATAGTAGAGCAGCTTTTCCAAAATAAGAAAGAGTATAAAACAGATGTGATATATAATGAACCTTTTGAGGAACTCACACTTTCTGGATCCTGGCACAGGAGAGAATATCCTGGCACAGACAGAGCAGAGTGATTGAGATAGATCAGAATGGAAGCTACTGAGAAGCTGGAATTTGAACACAGACCACTGGATAAGAGGTGGCTGTGCAGAGAAACAGCTCTGGAAAATTTAAGATCATCAGGGAGTCTCTGAAGTATAGACTAAGATGCCAGAAGGCAAGAAGAACGTAGTTCTGAACTGAATTACCAGAGTTTGCACAGGGCTTGGGAGTAGTTTGACTTCAAATGACAAAAGACTGAGTGAAACTGTTGAACCATGGCAATCTCAGAAAGACCATAGAAAACTTAGTCCTCTAATAAGACTTGTTTTTGGAAACATCTGAGAAAGAATTGGTAATAAGCCTGAAAAAAGATCAATCTGGTTCATAAGTAAAATATCAAAGATCTCCAATATACCACTAATGGTGCTGATGGAAGTTTAGAAACCAGTGATAAAACATCTAAATGTTTCAGCATAAATTAATAAGTTTAGACATTTGGGGAGGTAGGAAAATGACTCATTACCAGAGGAAAGCCAGTCAGAAGAATGGACTGGCACTGACAGAGGTGATGCAGTGATGCAATTAGCCAACCAGCTGTTTAAAACAGTGGTATAAATTAGTGTCATGTTAGAAAGAGAATATGTGCATTCTGAAGAAACCATTGGCTCCCAGTGCCTTCAGAAAGACTGTTTCCATGCTTCCATACAGGCAGGGCACTCGATGACTCCCTCTACACTCACACACAGCCCCTCAACTGGATCTGGGAAGTGGAGACTTCAGTGAACTTCAAGGAACACCACACTCACTTTGAGTGTCACCCAGGCCTGCCATCCTGTCTAGGGAATTTGCCTCTCCCAGCTATTTAGAGAAATAGCCAGAATTCCAATTCTGGAATTTCCCAGGGCAAAATGAGGCATATCACCCAAGGATATGCTCCTTCTGGGGTTAATTAGATGAGCGCACTGGTCAACCAGGAGCCATCGAGGGACAGGACAGCACCTTTGCTCTAACTTGGGGAAAATGCTAACGGGTCATAGGATCTTGATGTTCCCTATAGAATCATGAAGTTTTCATTAAGTCTGCACTGTCTTTTCTCCACTGCTTCTGCTTACTTTGCTTAATTTCATTCCCCTCTACAGGAAAGGAGCAAATCCTAAAAATAATCCTAGGTTTTCTTGTACTGTGGAGAACCCAGCTTGCAATACAGCCTCAATGCATCTTTTCTGTTGATCTGCCTACTGGCAGTAGGGTGAGCTCTTCTTTGTATTTTGTTTGTATCGTGACCACTTCTTGCCCCTTCTAGCATTAACATCCTATTATAGTGATAGCAGGATTATATTTGTTTTATTGGATACATAGATCCAAATGTGGGAGAAGTTCTATACCCAATTGCATGTAAAGTTCTATCTCTGTGTTACTCAAAGGAACAGGGAGATATGTTCACTGAAATAAACAAGAACTCATTACCATGAGTGACATGGAGAAAGATATGTAACTGATTGGTGAAAGTTGGATTATTTCTTCTAATGAGTCCTGCAAAAGAATATTCTGGAATGAAATTTAAGTTACCCACTTTTATTGTGTTATAATTTTTCAACAAACAGGCAATTAACATATGGCTCCTTAAGCGCATTTATCTCACTATGTTAAAAAATAATTTATTGTTAAATTTTAAGAGAGCAAAAGTCTCAAAGCAGTGAAAATGAAAGTTAAGCTTTATTCCATATGGGGTGTATTTGGAGAGAATAGTAATTAACCTTAAGGGGAGGGCAAATGTCAGGCTTTCATGAGGAACGTGTAGGAAGGATCGATGAGAAGTTTCCTTTTCTCTTTGATCTATCAAGCAATGTAATTTGGGGAAGTTGATTACTTTGTTCATTTGGACTGTGAAATGTGTAACCTCTATCGATCCAAGGATTAAGAATGATACCTCTTTCATCACAAAATGGTAGAGAACAGAAGTGCGCCCCGACATATTGTGGAAGGTGTAAACTGACAAACATGTTTGCAGAGGAGATGGAGGTGACCTGAAGGGGGTCAGTGGGAAGGAACAGAGGAGTTGGAGAATGGAGTTGTCATAACCTCATTTTCTAAGACTTAAGAAGAATGCTTATCTAGAAAACATAGCACCAAAACATGTTACCCACTGGAAAACATGTATCCAGTAAACTGGAAAGATGAATTATCTTAGAACTCTGCTAATTCATTACACAGTAAGGGCTCTATTTCTTCCTTCCCCCACAACCCCTGCCCCATCCTCCACTTGTTCCTCCACCTCTTCCACTTCTCTCCATCCCTCTCTCTTTCTCTATCCTTAATTTTTCCCACTGATACACATATGCCCACATTCCCAAGTGTCTCTGTGTGTACACTTACGCTATAAAAATAAAAAAAATATTTCCATTCTATATTGTCACTCTACTGGGCTCACTTAAGTGATTCATTTTAATGGAGAGTTTTGAGAAGCAAATGAAACTAGTAATCTAAATGTAGTGGCACCTTACCATGATGGCAGTAACTTCTGCTTTGTAATTTATAAATCTGTGGCTCTGAGAGAAATGAGGACTGCATGGAAGGTTTAGGAGAGGGCATGGGGTTTTATTCCTAGTGATTAATCTAGGATGCCTGAGTGGGTGGATATAACACTAGAGACTATAAGTCTAGATTCTAATTTAAAAGTAAAGGTGGGGGAAAATTTAATTAAGTATTGAACTACCTTTAATAACTAGTTGAGAAATATGTATCAGATGAAAAGAATAAATTGAAAAGGAGACTTTCGGGCAAGATAGCAGCATTATGAGTTCAGACTTGGAGGCCTCCTTCTCCTCTAAATGCATATTATTTTTAGATAAGATAGATAACAAGAAAATTGAAAAGACATAACCAGGATCAAAAACACGATAAGCATCTCCATGCCCAAGAAATACAGCTAAAATGCTGAGCGACAAGAAGGACAGAGCAAAAGCCCGCTGGAGAGCTGCTGTGAGAGTCCACACAGGCAGAGGACAGGGGGAGCATGTGGACTGGGGGGGGGGGATTTGCACATACCTGTGTGTGTCTGAGAAAGACACCTTAGGTCAGAGTGAGACACCAGGACCAGCCCAGGAGAGAGTTGTGAGAAGAGACAGCAAATGACTTCTACTGGCTGGACACATGGCTTATACGACATGGCATGTCTCGAGAAGAAAAGGGGTTTTTGTGCACTGAGGGAAGTCACCTCTGGCTTGGTGTCTAGGCCTAAGGATACCAGGCACACTGTCAAGCAAAGACGCAACGTTTTCAGTGTGTGATGCAGTTTAGGACTGGATCTGGAAGTTTAGTAGAGAAGATCACACAGCTCTAGGTCAGAAAAAGGGAGAGAAAGGGCAGGGGAAAGGAAAGAGGACCTGGGTGATTGGCCATAACAAACATACACATCAAAATTTGAACTCACAGGAAAGAAAACTAAAGCCATGAAAGCTGCTGACCTTCTCAAAAGTTCATCGTCACCCCTCCAAATACATAGCCGTGGAGGACCAGTGGTAATAAACTCTCAGACATCCAAAAGTAAACTATTCATTAAAAATAGTAGGCATGGCCCTTCCTGGTGGTGCAGTGGGCTAAAGGACAGTACTGAGAAGCTAAAGCCACTTCAACATGAGTTCGATCCCCACCCTGGAGGTGCGGCAGACCTCTCCTGACCCGCCTGCTGCTCCCCTCAGCAGTGTACTTCCTCAGTCGGCCTGTTCTTCCCCCCACTCTGTCTCTGGTGGGTCCTCTCACCGCCTCTGCACTTTTGGCTTGTATCCCCAGTTCTGTATGCAGAACTAAATAAATCTTTAAAAAAATAGTAGTGATTATTTGATGCAACAGAGACAACATATTTACACATTAGCTGAAAAAAACCACAAACTCTATCTCAGA